GGAAGGATAAACCACACAAAAACACTTGAAATGGCTACCTATATGGGAAGGGAGGGCTTAGGATAGGGAAAACAGGATTAGAAGCAAGACTTGTTTGACATCACAGAAAGAGAGACAGTCACACATCATGAACCCTCCTGTTGGATACAGCACTACCTATGAAGTAGTCTTGAAAAAAAAAAAGCCTGACTCCAATCAAGCTTCTATATTTAACTGCCAGTATATGGGACAGATATGTTAAATACCACCATGGCAATGCAGTCAGCAAAAGACAGACTGCAGGGGGACCGACCCGGTGGCGTAGCCGTTAGGTTCTCGTGCTTCACTTCAGTGGCCTGGGGTTCACTGCTTTGGATCCCTGGTGTGGACCTACACATTACTTATGAAGCCATGCTGTGGCAGGCGTCCCACATATAAAGTAGAAGAAGATGGGCATGGATGTTAGCTCAGGGCCAGTCTTCCTCAAAGTAAAAGAAAAAAAGACACTGCAGGAAACTTTACAGGATAAATGACTTAAATTGCAAACAAAGATAAGAGACAAAGGAGGAACCTGTAGATTTGAAAACATGTAAGAAACAAATTAATATCAATAAATGCACTTTGCCCAATTCAAATAAAATAAGTCATTTTTTAAACATAAGCCAATTAGTGAAATGTAAATACTAATTGGATAATTGATGATATTAAGAAATTATTGTAGATACTAACCTGACGATGGTATCATGACTTTGTTTAGAAATGGAAGTTCTTGTTTTGCAGAGGTACTTAAGTATTTATATATGAAATAATGCAATACCTGGGATTTGCTTTCAGAGTAATATGGGGAGGGGCATGGGATGTGTTGGAATATAGATGAAACAGTATTGGATGTGAGTTGATAATTGAAGCTACAAGTACCTGGTGTTTATTATTCTTTATTATAAAATAAAAAGTTAAAGAGGGGGCTGGCCCCGTGGCCGAGTGGTTAAGTTCGCGCGCTCCGCTGCAGGCAGCCCAGTGTTTCGTTGGTTCAAATCCTGGGCACGGACATGGCACTGCTCATCAAACCATGCTGAGGCAGCATCCCACATGCCACAACTAGAAGGACCCACAACGAAGAATATACAACTATGTACTGGGGGGCTTTGGGGAGAAAAAGGAAAAAAATAAATAAATAAAATCTTTAAAAAAAAAAGTTAAAGAGTATAGAATTTTGAGTCCGACTGCCTAGGTTCAAAATCCAGATTTGTCACTAGCTAAGTTATGTGATCATATAGAGCTGCTTAGCTTGTCTGTGTTAGTGTCCCTTGTCTGTAAAATGGAAATAATATAATAATACCTAAATAATAGGGTTGTTGTGGGAAGTAAATGATAATAAGTGGAAAGCACTCGTGAATTTTAGGTATTAATTATCATATATCAATGATTAACTAAAATCATTGAAACACAGTTGGTTAGAGATCTTAGTGTACTTAGGAATAGTCTAGTTGAGTTCACTGTTCAGTGTAGGAGCAAACTGAAACCAGTGGTCAGCAAAATGTCTAGTGGTAGAACCAGAACTCAACTATAGGTCTCTTGACTTCCATCATTACACAATCTTTATGATAAGTCATTATTGAATAGTATCCAAGTAAATGTAAATAATCTAGTCTTAAATAGAAGTGCTCAGAGTTGCAAATATGTTCATTTTTCCTGCATCTAAAATTTATTGCACTTCAGATGAAAACTCTAGTTTGTTCTTGTTTGTTTTCTTTGAGAAGGAACAGAGAAACTTAACCAAAGATGAGTCTAAATTCATCTGGGAAAAAAATAGCTTAATGAGTATGATGGGAAAATTTTCAGTCAATAAAGGAATAAAGGGAAAGTACTTATTCTGCCAAATATTTAAAAATATTATTTAGTTACATTCAGTAAGTTGGTGGTTCTGGCCTAGGAATAGACAGATCAAGGAAACCACTCAGTATCCAGAAATAACACCCCCTAGAGTATATAGGATTTTAATATTAAAACTATTTCAAATCAGTTACTCTTATTGGGACTACTGGAGTTGCCATTTGGAAACATATAAAGCTGGATACTTAGTGAAGTCCAGATTGTTTCATAGACATAGTAGGAGAAAATGTAAGTGAATATTTTTATAGTATGAAAGCAGGGAAATCCTTTGGAGTAAGAGTAATGAAATATAAATACCAAAAGAGAATGGACTAATAAATTTTACCACATATAAATTTGAAACTTTGGTGTCACAACAGATCCTAAAATTAAAAAACAAAAGAAAAAACTGAGAAGAAATATTGGTAGCATGTATGAGAAAGGATTAGTATCTAACTGTATTAGTTAGGGTCCAATCAGGAGCCAGAAATCACATCAGGAATTTGAATAAGGAAAACTTGATAAAAAGAATCATTAACTAGTAAAAGATGTTTTAACTACTAAAAAGGATAAAATAAGACTCTATAAAGAATACAGAACTAGTAAATATAAGGATCCACTATTACCTCTAGAGCTGTGAGAGAGAATCCAAAAAAGGAACAAATTTGGAAGAGGGCACCCCTACCCAAAGTTGTGATTCACACCTTGGAGAGAGTATAGTTGCTGCCAGAGGACACAGCCATGAACCAAGCTGGTCCACAGGAGATTGCCTGCTGGATGGCACAGGGCTGAGCATGTGTGGAAAGCCACCTGCTGGGGTGCCATGGCCCTGATGGATTGAGCAGGAAGTTGCCTTGGAGGGGTGTCATGAGTCACTTGGTATGCTGCACGCACTCCAGTGGGGTACTGTAGGTCAGAGCTGGTCTTCAGAAAGCCACTTGCTGGAGTAAACTGGAGAAACTTACTAGAGACTGAGCAGAGAAACTTGTAGGAGACTAATCATCAATGGGTCCTTCACACACCCTGTAGCTGTCACGCCAGAGGGGCCAGAAGAAAAACACACCCCAACATGAAAGATATGGCCTTTCCTCTGCTGTACTTTGCATTGTCCCTCCAGCACCCTGTATTAACAAAGTCGAACATTGTACCAGCTGGCAAAGGTCCTCACCCATAGATTTAGAGCTGAGAGGCCATAAATTGGTAACTGGCATTATGTGAAAAGCTCTATATATAGATAATAAAATTGTGAGCACTCTAATTGAAAAAAATGTCAGAGTATGTGTATAGATAATTCACAAAAGAATAAATACAAATGGCTAATCAATGTTTGAAAGGATAGTCAAATTCACTATTAATAGATTTCTCTGATTTCACCTAGACTTATGTTTTCTTGATCTTCCATCACCATGAGTGTGTTGCTTCTTAAGATTATACATTCTTTCCCTTCTTGGCTCCTACTGCTAACCTCAGGTTCCACCTGCTGTCTGTGCTTTTACTCTTCACTTACCCGAATTTGAAAGCTAGTCTGGACTTCTTCCCAGAACCTGCCTCACTCTAGCCAGTGCAATAGGCAAGAAAATGAAAAACGAGGAAAGCAGATTGGAAAGGAAGAAATAAAACTGTCTCTATTCACAGACAACATGATGGTCTATGTAGATAATCCAAGAATTGTGTATAGAAAGCTGCTAGAATTAAGGGGTGAGTTTAGCATGACCACAGGATCAAAGGTCAATATATGTAAATCAGTTTCACCTCTACATACTAGCAGTGAAGAATTGGAAACTAAAAAAATAAAGTACCACTTAAAATATCACAAAAAAATGTGCATTACTTAGGGATACACCTAGCAAAGTATGAACAAGATTTGTATATTGAAATTTATAAAACATTGATGAGAGGAACTAAAGGTCTAGATAAATGGAGAGAGACACCATGTTCAAGGAAAGGAAAACTCAATATTGTTAAGATGTCAAATTGCCACAGATGCAACAGAATCCTAGACAAAATCGCAGCAAGCCAAGCACATTTTAGCTCAACTATTAAAAGAAAAAAAGAAAGCTGCTGCTGTTGTCATCATTGTCTTTTGTTTGTTTTGAGGAAGATTAGCCCTGAGCTAACATCCACTGCAAATCCTCCTCTTTTTGCTGAGAAAGAGTGGCCGCGAGTTAACATTTGTGCCCATCTTCCTCTGTTTTATATGTGAGACACCTACCACTGCATGGCTTGATGAGCTGTGCCTGGGATCCAAACTGGCAAACCCGGGGCTGCAGAATCAGAGCACGTGAACTTAACTGTTAGACCACTGGGCCAGCCCCATCATTGTTTTTTCAATAGAACCTCCCTAGAGTGGAGCCTGCTGCTCTGTGATATAGGGAGTTCCCGGGTCAGTAGGATGCTGTACAAGAAATTAGAGCAGTAGGTGGGAAGTTGGACTAGATGATCTGCCTTTACCCTTCTAATTCAAAATCTTGATGAATCTGTTATTTACAAGTTAATGATTTACAACTTTGGGGCAAGGGGAAAGGGAGATACTGGAATATGCAGGCTTTTTCAAGTACTCTTAACTTTTCCTCGAAGATCCTACCATTCTTCCTCCCACCCTTCAAAACCATTTCATGTAATGAGGGATGTTACTAATGGGAGTGTGTCGCTGTGTGTTGAGTGTTTCATGTAATGAGGGATGTGAATGTGTTACCTGAGTGAACTATTTAAGGCCTCTAATGTGACATTGTTACTTTTTTTGTTTTAGTTACTCATCAAGCTGACTGAAAAGTTAATGTCAGTCTTCTCAACTTTTTGAATTTTAATTATGACTCTTCCAAAATGGTATAAATCTTAGGGGAATAGTCTTTAATATTCATTTTTAGACAGAACATTCATACTTTCAGTATACTCAACTTAGTAAATATTTCTCAACAAGAAAACTCAGAAATTATAATTATTCTTCTAGTTGATTATACCAGAATATCAATTTTTAAAGATATTGTGTTACTAACGTATGTTTTAAACGTGTTTGTTATATGCTTATGTGAAAGCCTCAAAAAATAAGTAAAAATCCTGTAAATTCTGATTTTTAAAAATTACTTGAAATATGAATAGCTACCTATTTTTATTTTCATTAATATCTTAATTTATTTTCTATTTTAAAGCCCAACCTGAATTCCTGAAGCAGCCTACTAATATCTATGCTCATGAATCTATGGATATTATATTTGAATGTGAAGTGACTGGAAAACCAGCTCCAACTGTGAAGTGGGTCAAGAATGGGGATATGGTTATCCCAAGTGATTACTTTAAGATCGTAGTAAGTATTTTTCAAAGAAGGACACTTATCTCTGAAACCTTAAATGTCTTTAAATGTCACCAAGAGATCTGTTACCTTCTATATGCCAGTTTACGTACTACAGATGAAGATAGAAAAATTCACGTGGAGAACGTAATCTTTTCATTGACTGATGAGAAAACTGAGCCCAGAAATATTTTGGTAGCTTATGTAAGATCACATAGCAAATCAGTGGTTGAACTAAGCCTAAAGTCCAGATCTCCTGACCAGCAATCTGGTACTCCTATTCAAATATGCTAGCACTCTTAAACACAGCTACCACCATTTTCTGGGTAATCATTTTCCTGTGTCTGTGTGTGTGCACACACATGCGTACACCAGTTGTCTTCATTGATAGCTCTCTATTCAAGGAGCAGAAATCTGTCCTGCGTATGCTGATGCCCAGACCCTTGAAAACAAGCATGTCCCAATGGTGGACAATGGTTGTGACAATAGATATAAAGATTCTTTTAAAAAGTAAATGCAAAAGTAAATAATTAGTGTTAAATGTATTTAAGAATACTTAGCCATTATTGCTTTTTACTTTATATATAGTAAATGCTTAGTAAATGTTATCTGCTATTATTGTTATCTAACATCCTAGTAATAGAATTATCTAGATATTAGTGATAAGGATTAACGACGTATCTCAAGATGCATACATGACATAAAAATAATCAGAAGTAATTATGGTTGTTAAAGACTTAATGTCTCATTACAGATTTCTCTTATGAGTAATTCATTCTTAGTAAGAATAGATTTTCTATTTTTGAAGTGCTTAATCTCATATGTTACAAAAAGTAGTTCACAAGTATTTAACCTTAACTAAAAGGCAACATGTGATGGTTAAATTAGCATTTTTACTTTTATCATTGTTTTCATACTTTTTTTTTTTTTTTTTTTGGTGAGGAGAATTGGCCCTGAGCTAACATCTGTGCCACGCTTCCTCTATTTTGTATGTGGGACACCACCACAGCATGGCTTGATGAGCGGTGTGTGTCTGGGTCTGCACTTGGGATCTGAACCTGTGAACCCTGGGCTGCTGAAGCGGAGCATGCAGACTTAACCACTGTGCCACCGGGCCGGCCCCCATACTATTTTTAAAAGTTTTAAAACCATATTGTATTGTATAAATAACAATAGTTGGCATTCATATGCTATTTTATAGTTTAAGAAATGCTCATATATATGCAGCCTCATTTATCTTACTGTAGTCTAATCTGTTAGAACTGTTGATATTAGAGATAATCTTAAAAAAATGCCTTGAATTCACAAATTCAGACTTTCACTATAGTTACATGGTATTGCATGCCAGATATTTTTCCAAGCAGTGTGTAAGTCTGCAGACACTGTGAGTGTGACTTTCCGTAAAGTTCTTTACTGTTAATGACCGTCTTTCCTGTTCTAGTTAGTGAAGTCAGTACATTGTCAGTAAAATTGACTTACCTTAACTGTCACGGAGGTAGATAATATTCAGTAACTGAGTCATACAATTTTACTTGTTTTCCCTCCCCAGAAAAAGCACATCCTTGAGATTTTGAACTAATGCTTATCAGTTGAATCATAAAATTTTATTTATATTTTTATTCCTCAGAAGGAACATAATCTTCAAGTTTTGGGTCTGGTGAAGTCAGATGAAGGGTTCTATCAATGCATTGCTGAGAATGATGTTGGAAATGCACAGGCTGGAGCACAACTGATAATCCTTGAACATGGTAAGAGGAGCTGAGACAGTAAGATAACAGAGGCTAAGCATGTGTTTGAGGAGCTTGTACCTGTCACAGTACCTCTCACTCCAGGATTCCTCATGATGAATAACCCGTTTGTAAAGGCCAATGTATGGCCTAACGAAGAGAAGAAAATAGTTTGAATCATTTCTACTGCTTAGAATGACCTAGAAACACAATTTTTGATAATGTTGCAAAGAAATTGGCATTAAAAAGAAAAACTGGGCAGTTATAATCTTACACAAATGAATGTTCTTCTGATTTCAGTCATTTTAATCTCACAAATATATTTCTGCTCTATTAAAATAGGAAAACTTTACTTAATGTTTATTTTGTGTTGAATTTTCCAATCTTTCTAAAGTAAAATTACCTTGCCTTTTCTGATTATCACAAAAAAAATGTTTATTATAAATTTAGACAACATTGAAAAGTAAAAGTGGGGGCAAAAACTCCACCCTGGATCAGTCAGGGTGAATTCTAGGAAAGCTCCACAGGAATTTGAGCAAAAACTAAAGAATTAAATATTTTTTAATGTAAGGAATTATTGTCTGTAGTGGGATTGGAGTAACAAGGGGTTGGCTAGCAAGAAGTAAAGAGAACACTAATGAATATAAGAATGGCAGATATAAGGAGCAGCCACAATCTCTAAGTCTGAGAGAGAATGTTCAGGAAGAGGCTCCCCTCAGGGCTGACATCCAGACCATGTTGGAGAGGGTGTCACCGTGGTTTCCTGGATGGCAGAGAAGTTGCTGTGCTGCTGTGCTGTCAAAACTTGCACACAGCCACGGTCTGGTGTGCTGGGGAAAGCTGTTCACAAGGAAGTGTCGCACTGAAGGCATTCTGCTGCAAGACCATCTGAGGGGTTGGTGCTGGGGACGCTGCTCTCCAGCACCCTGACTGATAGAGTTTAACACATGTGTCAGCTGGCAAAGGAAAAATATATAAAGGGCCCAGGTTCATTTTTGCAGAGCAGGCAATAAAGTATGAATTTGGAGCTGAGAGGCAATAAATTGATAACTGGCACATGCTCCAAATCCTGCCACCTAGGAATACTACATATAAGCACATACAGACGTATCTGTGGCTTTATAACCTATTTTCTTGCAACAGCATGCTGTGGACATCTTTCCATGTCAGTAAATATAGATCTGCATCAAATATATACACTTAGTTTTATATAAATGAGTGACTGTTGGCTAACGTTTAAATTTATTTCTTGTTTTTTACTATCATGAACAACACTATGCTGAACTTCTTTATATGATTTTCTCATACTAAATTACTGGAAGTTGAATTGCTGGATAACAGTTCTGTGTTAAATTGATAAGGATAACTGTCAGATGTATTATTTGTTTTAGCAAGAAAAGCATTTTTCATTTTGTGAATTTCTCAAAAATGTGTGAAAAAGATGCCAGACATCTGATCTGGTGTTCAAGTAAGTTCAGGTTCCAGTTTGGTCCCAGCCGTATAGCCTAGCCAGGGAAGCTAACTGCAAAGACGGCACCTAACTCTGGCTTTTCACTAAAATAACATGTAGGATTTTTATATGCTATTTCTTGAAAATGTATTTGATAGTACTATTATAAAAAAGCATATAATATTAGAATTGCTCTTTTTCTTCCTATGTTTGTCTGTGATTATACCTTTCCCTGTTCATTGAAAATTTAGTAAAAGCATGTCACTTTTCCGTCTTGGCAGAATGCCTGAGTATGGTTACCCAGTGAGAGACTAACAGAGTTAGTGAGGTAGATAGGCTTATTTCTTTTTATTAGTGGCAGTGATTTTCCTTAGTAAACTTCACGGCTCTCTTGGGGTTAGTTACATAGAACTAAATAAAGGGATTTCAGTATATTTGTGTTTAGGATTACCGTTACAGATTTAACTCCCACAGTCTAAGTGGTTGGCTATGGTAGGAGGTCCCTAAACTAATCCTAATAGGGCTTTTTTCTGAAAATGCTTGGATGGCGTAATAATTATAGTTGTATTATGTGTGTGTTTCCCCTTTTGAGACAACGTTTCAAAAACAGACAACATTTTGTGGCCTGGCAAAATTTTTTAGTGACCTTGTCAGGGATGCATTTAAGGAAGGAAAGTAAGTATCATGTTATTAATTTTGCTATTTTAATTTGCAGGATGAATATTTATGTGGGAAAACTAAAAGATAGAATATAACAATTTATAAGTTTTGATCTCAGCCTTTCTGGAGTTTACGGTATTGTAAGAGATGTGTACAGCTTTAATACCAGCCCCTAATAAGTGTTATTTTTATAGTACAAATAAAACAGCGTACAATTCAGAAGAAAGGAATTCTGTCTGTGAGATCAGGGAAATTTTTTCATGGAAAGGGTCCCCTTTGTAATAGACCTTGAGTGATAAGATTTCCAGATATTAAAAAGAGGACCTGGGTCAGTATGGAAGTAGTACAGTCTGAGTACGTGTTCCTCCGGAAGGTGGCCTGTTAAGGCAAAACAAAAGGATCAGATTGGTCGTGGCTTTGATTATAAACAGAGCAGTACTGCAGAAAGGCAATCTGATGATAAAGGCAGGTTTAATTAGAAGGCGGCAGAGTGGAGGAGACTGGTTGAAGGAATAATACTAATAAGAGACCATTGTGAGATGGTAAGTACTTACACTAGAGAAATAGAAAGAAAGGATCCTAATAAGGAAATATCAGTAATTTATCTAATCCAGACTTTATCCCTTGATTGGATATTAAACATTGTTGTAGAGAAGTCAGAGATACTTCCAAGGTTTTATCTGGGTGCCTGGAAGAATGGTGACGCCTTTCCAAAAATAGAAAACAAAGGTGAATTGAAATGGAAGAGGATTTCTCTTATCTCCTCAGGATGTAAAGTTTGTGCACAGAACAGCCCATCCTCACCTCTAATAAAAAGCTGAATGGTTTACAAAATCACAGTTTCTCTTAGCCCATCAGACAGCTGAGTTTGCAAAGCACTCAAGTAACCTAAATTCCAAAGAATTGGACAATCCCCTCCCCCGGTGAATGGTCATGAATTGTTTCACCTTTGGCAGAGCATGAGAGAAAGAGATGGCTTCCATAAAAGTGGTTACAAAGAAATTGGCTAAAATTTTAGCTGATTGTTAAAGACTAAGTATGGACTAGGTTGGAATATCGTGGGGGCCCCAGATAAAAGCAGAGTTCATACTTGCTTGCAAATACATTTCCCTAGGGCTCCACAGGGCACTCACTTTTAAGATTGAGGGCAAGGCAGAGACTCAAGAAAATCATCTTGGTGGTGTAGAGGTGAAGGTGATCTCTGGCTGCAGCGAGATAGGCACAAAGCCCAGACATTGACTCCGACTCCCTTAAGCCTCAGACCAATGTGGGAAGGGAAGAAAACCTTATTTTATAAATTTCTGAAGAGAGATTAGAAGCAAAACACCTCTGCTTCTCAGAGGAGGAACCCTCTGGTCCCCAGGACACAGGCAAAGACCCATTGCTGCTGGGGGAAGGGTAAGAAGAGAAAAACCCTATAACTCTGAAAGAGGTGGAGAAAGCCATTTTGGGCCCCAAGATTCTGCAGCAATACCTAGGAGAGGTCTTTTACTTCTGGGGGAAGAGTAGGAAACTGCCACTCAAGACTAACACAAATACAAAGCGCATTTTGGCCGCCAGAGAAAGGAGAGCCACAGGGCCCACCTAATACTGAGGCTGGACCAGGACAACTGAAAATCCCACCTGCCCCAACCGTGAGCCTGTCACCAAGTAACAAACAGAAAAGCTTTCTGCCACTGGGAGGTCTGGAAGCTGGAGACAGGTGCCTTTGTGGTAGAGGCATGCAGGAGTGGTTGACAGAAACAGGAAAATTGAGAAAAACTCTCCAGCTCCTCATCTCTGACCTCAAACACAAGACAATGGTATTCTACCAGTAGAAGACTTTGAAACCTGTGGTGTGCTGAAAGTAATTATAACAACAGATCCACAGCAAGCTCAGTTCCTGTCTAAATAGACTAAACTCCTCCACGCTAATGGTTTGACAGAAGAACAGACATGCCAGTTTCCAAGTGTAAATAATAATCATCTTAGTCTCTGCTGCTCTATACATGATGCTCATCATTCAATCAAAAATGTTTGGAAAAAAACAGAAAAAGCAAGGGAAAACCAGCCTGTTGTTAGGAGATAAAGCAATTGACAGAACCAAATTCAGGAGACACAGATATTAGAACTATCAAACAGGAACTTTAATTATTAGTAGTGTGTTAATATATTTAGTGGAAAACATTAGATAACTTGAATGAACAGATGAGAAATTTTGGCAGAAAGATGGAAACCATAAAGAGTTTGGAGCTACTTGCATTTGTCCAGAAGGTAAAGGATTCCACAACCAGAGGAAGGAAACTATAAAAGATAAAAAACATTGTATCAGAGATGAAGCATTTTTTCAGACTGATCAGTAGATTCAACGTAGCTGAGGAAATAGTCAATCAACTTGAAGATAGTTCAACATAAATTACTTAAACTGAAATAAAAGGGAGGGGACAAACAGAGCATCTAAGTTGGGACAATATCAGATGGTACAACATAAGTAAATTGGAGTCTCACGAGAAAACGAGAACAAGAACAGAACAAAACAAATATTTGAATAGATAATGGCCAAAAAATTAAAATAAAAAAATAAATGGGATTATACCACAGGTTTAAGAAGAAGGCCAGATAGCCCCGAATAGGATGAAAACTAATAATAATGGCAGTAGTAGTAGTAATAAAAGAAAAGACACCTATACACATCATAGTCAAACTACTGAAAATGAAACTTAATGGGAAACTCCTGAAGGCGGCCAGAAATTTCTGAAAAGACACATGCAGAGGAGCAAAGACAAAAATTACCACAGGCTTTTTCCTAGAAATGATGCAAGTCAGAAGACAATAAACAACACTTTTAAAGTCCTAAAAGGAAAAAGAAGTCGACTCAAATTATATACCCAGCAAAAATTATCTTTCAAAAATGAAAGTGAAATAAAGATCT